GGCGCTTTTCGGAGCGCCGGCGGTTCAAGGCCGCCGGCGGGCAGGCAGCCCGCGCGCGGTCTCTTGCCGCGGGGTCCGCGGCCGAGCAGCAGTCTGTGAAAAGTGAGGGGACTCGGGGGCCCCGCAGAGCCCGCGACGCTTTCATTTTTCGGGTTCCTTCGGCACCAGGCGTGGCCATTGAGAGGGCCAGACAGGTTCCCGCCCAGTTGGGCCTCCAGCTGCCCGTCGGCCAGCGCCCCCCTCAGACACGATGTCCCCCGTGGGTTTCTCGGGGGCCCCAGGCGCGGGCGGGCTCGGGCAGGATCTCGACGGGGCCCTCGTGGATTCGAATGGCTTTAACGTTGGTTTTGACGAGGTGCCCTCGGCGATTGCTGACAGCCCTGGGCGGGGGCCAACGGCGGCCGTCATGGTCTCGGGTGGGGCCAATCCGTTTCTGGGGGAGGGGGCCCTGTGCCTGGCCCATCGTCATCTTCTTCGAGACTCGGGCAGTGCAGGGCGACGTCTCTTGGCCATGATTGATAGTCATCTGCCGCTTGCCCTCGGTGTTGTCAAAGGGGGGGGCCCGGAGGGGGTCGGCGCCGGCGGCTTTGTCTTGGTCGCGTATATGCGCTCTCTCTTGCGTCTGGCTCGAGGCTCCACGCGTGCTTCGTGGCCTCCGAACGGAATTCCTCCGACGCCGTCGGCCGAGGCCGACGCGGCTGGTTCATTGGGGGGTGGTGAAGGGGGTCGGGCGCAGGGCCCGGGCAATGGTGTCTTTAAGGGCCGTGAATGGGCGATGCATCCTCGATTGCTGTGTTCGGCGGGGGAACTAGTTGCAGCTCCCCGCCTGCGCCCGTGCGCGAGATTTGAGGGGGAACGAAGCCGGCGACGACAACGTGCGCTGAGGGCGCAAAAGGAAAAGGTTGGAATATACGAAAGCGGTGGGGTGAGTGTCAAATTCTGCCCGGCCAATCTGACGCGCGGAACACTGCGCCTCAGTTTTGGGGATCTTGAAGGCCAAGGCAACGTGTCAATTCACATTGTGGGGAAAAGCAAAGTGTGAATTCATATTCCGGGAAGAAGGAAATGGTGAATTCGCATTTTGGGGACAAAAAAAAGGAAACATGCGCGATCATCAATCGCGCAATCAAGACGCCCGTGCACTGCACTTCGCCGCCCCGCGCGGAATATGCAATAACGCCCGCGCGCGTGAACGATAATGGATGGGCGGCGCGTGCGCCCGCGCGGGCAACGCGCGGGCGCGAGCGACTGGCCCTCCATGGCCGCCAGCATTGGATGCCAATCGTGCGGGGTCGCATACATGAACGATACATTGAGCATACATGGGCCAATCAGCCCCCATGGAAGACTCCCTGTTGCAGACCCCTTGTTTGGTCTTCCAAGTTCAGCGGCCAGCGGGGGCCGCGGGGGCCGCTGCCGAGGCCTGCTGGCCATCTTGCTGGTGGCGAGCATTGCGGGCTCCAACGGCGCCGCGACGGCGCGGGGCTCGAGCGCGCCGAGCGCCGAGACGGCGGCGGCCCAGGGGCGGAGGCTGGCGCAGCAGGCGATCGCAGAGAGGCCGATCCTGACCGGGCTCACCCTGTTGGAGACGCTGGCCATTCGCTCAAGCGCCGAGCGGAGTTGCCGCCAGCTGCTGCGGACCTTCGTCGGTTAGTGCTCTCAGCGCCGCTGGGGCTGGGGCGCGTTCGAGGAGCTCGACGCCGTGCTGGCCCAGTACTTCTCGGACCGCGACCAGATAGGGGGCCGCGTGCAAAGCAGGGTCGCAGACGCTAGCGGCATTGGCGCGTGACCCCCTCGATGTCCAGGAAGACTCTGGCACTCATCCCTCGGGCTTCGAGGGCGCTGGCTGCCTGGGAGAGGCGAGCGCCGGGCATGGCGAGGCTGTCTCTGCCGCGGGCAGCGGTGAATGCAATCGCGGTGTGGCTGATCAGCTGCGGGCCCTGGGGCTTGACGCGCGAGAGCCTGGTGCTTCCGACGCTAGCGGCGGGCGCGAGCTCCTCGAGTTGGGGCCTCCTGCTGCGCCCCGCCGAGAGGGGCTTTGCAGGGGGTGCTGGCCAGTGCGACGACGGCGCGATGCTGGATCAGTCGGAGCTGTGACCAGTCTCCGCAGCCTCGCGCCAGGCCGCTGCGCTGGGTGCGTCGCTGCGGGCTTGCTCCCTGGAGGGCGTCGCTGCGCTGTTCATGGGCGCTGCGGCCGCGGCTTTATTGCCTGCGTCGTGGCGGGGCGTCCGACGACTTGTTGACTGGCCGTCGCAGCCCAGTCGAGGTGCAGCGTCGCGGGAGGTGGGCCGCCCCCTCGTCGATGCGGCGCTGCGGCAGGGGGGGGGCCCTGCTCGACGAGATGGCCCGGGCGATCGCCGCGGTCTTCATCGTCGGCGCCCTTGTCCAGGTGAACTTGGTGACGCTCCTCGAGCGCGGCTTCGACCAAGCGCGCCCCCCTGGCGCGGGCGCCGGCCCCGGTGCCCCGCGCGCTTGGCCCCGCGCCGCCTGCGGCGGGCAAGAGGGCGCAGAGGCGGCAGGCCGCGCGCCGATGATCGGCCTCGCCGGGTTGGCCGACGCGCCCGCAGCTGCTGACGATGAGTTATGCGGGCGGCACCTGCGGCGGCGGCTCAGGGCGGCGGGCGGTGGCTTCGGCGCGTGGTGCTAGGGCTCTTCGCCGGCTCAGGTTGCCTGACAGAGGCCGGTGCGCGGGGGCGCTGGCGGGTTTGGCTCTCGATCTCCGCCATGGCGCTACCTGAGACCATGTGCGCGTTGCCTTTCTGCAGTGGCGGGCCGCCCGCGTCGCAGGCGCAGCCAGGCTGGGAACGCCTTGCGCGACTTGGATTCAGGCCCTGAGGGGCCCTCTCAGAACGCCGGCCCGCCCGATGGGCCGCGGGGGATTGCTCCCGCGCGAAGCGGCAAAGCTGCGCATCGGCGACAGATCTTTCAGTGTGAGTTGCGACGCCATTAAAATTTGGATTGAGCTTCGTATTCCAGTATCCATTGGGAACCCTGTGGGGGCATTGCTGCCGCTCGCCAGGCGGATGCGGCGGTTGCTCAATGCGCCTTCGGCTCAGTTCGTCAACTGCTGCCATTTCGCAATTCCGTGGCGGAAACGCACTTCAAGTGTGGCCTGGAACGCGGCCAACCTTCAGTCCCTGAGTAGTCGCTGCGGTGGCCGCCGCGGCCTTTGCTTCAGGACGTAACGACCGCGTGCTATCCTGGCTGGCCATTGCGACGGTGTTCATCTATAACCGCTCAGGCTGCCGCCTGTTCGCATTGCCACTGCAATGGTGTGGCGCGTCTCATTGAACAAACGATTCTTGATCGCTCTCATTTGTATATGCGCGACATCTGTTTTCATTGGCTTGCGTCGTGATATTTGTATTCTCATCGGCCTTTCGGTCAATCCCTTCCCGTGTGGGCGTTTGGAATTCTGTGTGCGCCGCTGCCGCCTCGCCTGCAAGCGCCGTCGCCTCGAGGCCGAAAACTTGGCCTCGGGCGCCTGGCTCCCTCGTGCGCGAGCCCGCTAGAAAACTGGGGCGCTTCGGAAGCGGAGTCGGGCTGTTATTATGAAAAATTGAAATGAGCAAACCACAGGAGTACACACGCATATATACAACAAAATTCTGGTTCTTATTAAGTAGCGTATATATACATGTGTGTGTGTGTGAAACACAAGAGTTTGCGTAGATGCAGCAATCGGGCGCCGCGCGGTGACGCCGACCGTCGCCGTTCGGGGCTCAGAGTGCACCCGCCCGCAGGCCGCCTTGGAGTTTGTTTTGTGTTTTTTTGTGCGGTTTTTGATCCCCCTCGCCCGGGGGATTCTGTGCGCGCGTGCCGTTGCCGCCTCTCCGGCCTGCGCAGTCGTGTCGACGCCAACCTTCGACCTCGAACGCCTGGTTCCTTCCCGCGCGAGACCGTTGGACAATTGGAGCTGTTTTTCGGCCTGGCCGACGCCCTACCGCCCGACGCTTTTTCCCTTTTCTAGATGGTCGCCCCAGCTGGCCTTCGGAAGTGGTGCCAGGCTATATATATATATATATATATATATATATATATATATATATATATACACAGATCTCTCATCACAGCAGTGCGTTGAGTGCAAAGCGCACAGTGGAATATATCATGTTAGTTGCATTGCGTAATGCATCGGGACAGTGCGCTTTGTAGCGTAGCATGATGTACGATGGCGTTCCATAGCAAAGTGTCACGTGGTGCAGTAACGCTGTAATTTTTCCTGGTCCAAACCTTGGCGACAGACCGCCAGTCGATCAGTCGATGAGAGCGGAGGAGGAGGAGTGAGGCAGAGGCTGGTGGAATCAGAGAATGTGGACCCCATTATTCAAGACCGCCTCACTATTGTCAATGCGGTCAGGACTCGTGCAGATAGAACCTAAGCGCGCGAATCGCGCATGTGGTTCTCTCTCTCTCTCTCTCTCCTTCTCTCTCTATATGTATGTATGTGTGTGTATGTATGTCTGTCTGTCTGTCTGTCTGTCTGTCTGTCTGTCTGTCTGTCTGTCTGTATGTATGTATGTATGTATGTATGATTGTATGTGTGTATGTATGTATGTATGTATGTGTGTGTGTATGTATGTATGTATGTATGTATGTATGTACATATATATATATATATATATATATATATATACACACGTATCTTCAATTGCCAGTGGCAAGTCCCACCGCCGTTGCAGCCCAACACATGGCTTCCTGGGGGCTTTTCGGGAGCTTGTTGAATCCTTCTTGGAACTTTCCGAAGTCCTCTTGGGGCGTCATCGCGGCGTCTTTGAATTACCCAGGGCCTCTGGTTTGCCCCATGGGACTGCCTCAGGGCACTTTTGGGCCCTGCCCTGTTCGATCCTTTCCTTGGGTGCGTTTTCGAAACGGCTTCGCTTGTCGGGGTGTTTCTCACGGGGGTGGATTTTCTGCCCGCTGTCAAGCCCTCGCCTTCCTTCGAGTCCGGCCACCTCGGTGCTCTCGAGGCCTCGGCCGCGGCGACGGCCCCCCGCCAGGACGTCGTGGACGACGGGCTCCGGCAGCGGGTCCTCGAAGGCCCCGTTCTCCAGGGGCACCACCGTCGTCCTGCGCGACGCGCCGCGCTCGGCTGCCCCGAGACCGCTCCAGAGGCTCCCATAGAAGAGCCCAGGAGTGCCGAAGACACCCTGGGAGCCCCTCCCCCACAGTGGGGGCCCAGGAGGGGCGCGAGAGGGGGATCTCCCTCCTCCTCCTCCCTCCTCCTCCTCCTCCTCCTCCTCCTCCTCCTCCTCCTCCTCCTCCTCCGCCCCCCCTCCCCCCTGGGGCGCCACGCGCCGCCGACCGCCGCCGCCGCCGCACGCGGCGCCGCCGCCGGGGCCGAGCAGCGCGCCTCCGCGGCCGCCAGCGGCTGCCGCGCCGCGTCGTCGCGCGGAGGGCCTCCGATCCCCGCCGCTCCCCGGCGTCTTCGGCCCCGGGCCCCCGAGCCTCGACCTTCGGTGCTCGGCCCCCGATGCTCGGTCCCCGATGCTCGATCTTCGATCCTCGGGCCCGGATCCTCGATCCCCGGTCTTTCGTCCCCCATCCTCCGTCCTCGGTCCTTTCGTCCCCGATCCTCGGTCCTCCGTCCTCCGTCCCCGGTCTTTCGTCCCCGATCTCCGATACTCTATTCTCCGTCCTCGGTTCTTCGTCCCCGATCCTCGGTCCTCCGTCCTCCTGTGCTCGATCCTGCAGTCGGGTCTGACAGGTAGGTCGACCAGGCATAGTCGAGTGTACCCGTGTGTCCTGTCTGCCGCGTGTCATGTCCTCGTCATGTCTGGAGCTCGTGCGTACCTTCCCTGGCATCCTCTGCAATCAATCGCGACTGCATCCTCGATTTTCGACCCTGTGTCCCCGATCCCCGATCCCTGATCCTCGACCTCGATCCTTCGTCCCCGATCCTGCTCAAGGGGCAGGGCTCGAGCTAAACATTGCTTTGGCGATTTCGTGAACCGTTTTCGTTTTGCTTTCGTTTCGCAGCAGAGGCAGAACGAAGACAGAACGAAGGAACACGACGTCAGCGCGAACACGACAAACGCTGTTCAGCTCCAGCCCTGCCTGGGGGGTGCTAGACGTGTCCCTGGCCCAGGGTGTCCCGAGGATCTCTGGGGATGCCCAGACGGCCTGTAGGCATCGCCCCTCTCGAGGCCCCAGGGGGCCCCCAGGGGCTCCCAAAGACGGGGCGGCAAGCTGGCACGCACAGCACCTCTGGCCAGGGCTGGCAGCACTTTCTAGTCGCGGCGCCGGCGGTCGCGCGGCGCGTCAGAGCCAGTGTTGGGTCGCGGGCGATTGTTCTCCCCCCACCCCCGACTTGTCGACGAAAAACGAAGCCGCCCAGAAAAGGAGGGGATCCCTGGGATGCACCCGAACGGGGTTATTCGGATGCACCCCTATCGAGGATGGATGCCCCCCCATCGTATATCCCAGGGTTGGGCCCGAAACTTCAGGTCCATTCGACACCCTCCCAGAGCCGCAGCATCGGACCACCTGTGCGGCCCCGCCGCCCTGGCCAAGAACCGGGGGGAAGGGGGGGGGTTGAAACGAGAAGCGCGGGCAACGGCGACAGATGATTCGGAGGAGGAGGAGGAGGAGGATTCTCCCAGAGCCTGGGACAGGGGTCGACATGGCCGGCGAGTTGCCACGCCGGAGGGCACAGGGCGAGGAGGCGGACGGGCGGCGCGCTCAGCCTGCAAGGAGGATCAATTATGGGCTATTACGTAAGAACGGTTTTTCAGATGGCAGATCTGCCTTCGAAGAAAACATGTGTTTGTTGAAGGCAGCTATGTCTTCAAACAAAACCTTTCTCACACAGTATATCATTTTTTGAAGGCAGATCTGCCTTCAACAAACATGTTTTTTTTGAATGCAGATATCCCTTCAAAAACAAGGCCTACTCTGTGAGAACGGGTCTTTTGAAGGAAGGCATGCCTTCAACAAAAATGGTTAATGCAGATATGCCTTCAAAAAAGATGGCCTACCCTGTGAGAACAGTTTCTTTGAAGGCATCTCTGCTTCTAACAAACATTTTTTTGGGAAGGCAGGTCTGCCTTCAAAGAAGTATGTACGCTGCAATCATGGATTTGTTGAAGGCAGAGCTGCCTTCAACAAACCTGTTTTTTTTGGAAGGCAGATTAGTCTTCAAAACATGGTCTATCCTGTGAGATCTTTTTTTGGAGGACATATCCGGCTTCAACATATTTTGTTTTGAAGGCAGATCTGCATTCAATATCATAGTATACTCTGCGAAACGGATTTTTGAACGCAGGTATAACTTCAACTAAAATTGTTATGTTGAAGGCAGATCCGCTTTCAAAATACCGGTCTACTCTGTGAGAACGTTTTTTTGGAAGGCAAAGTTGTTTTCAACGACCATGGTTTTGTTGAAGGCAAATCTCCCTGCAACATTATCATCTACTCTGAAAGCACGGTTGTTTTTTAGGCAGATCCGCTTTCAACACATTTGGTTCATTGAGGGCAGATCTGCCTTCAGTAAAATGGCCTACTCTGTAAGAGCGTGTTCTTTGAAGACACAGCTGCCCTCAATCAAAATGATTTTTTTTGAAGGCAGATGTGCCTTCTGTGAGAACGGTTTGTTTTGAAGGCAGATGTGCCTTCAACAAAAATGGTTTTGTGAAGGCAGATCTGCATTTACATACACGGTCTACTCTGTGGGGGCGTTTTTTTCGAAGGCAGACCTGCCTTCCAACACATGTTTTTTTTGAAGGCAGGTCTGTCTCCATGAAAATGGTCTACCCTGGTGAACGGTTTCTTTGAAACCAGATCTGCCTTCAACAACACTTGCTTTTTGTTGAAGGCAGATATACCTTTACAACATTGTTTACCCTGTGAGAACTTATTTTTGGTTGAATGCAGATCGGCCTTCTAGAACATGTTTTTTGGAAGGCAGATCCGCCTTCAAACAATGGTTTACTCTGTGAGATCGTTTTTTGAAGGCATAGCTGCTCTCAGTACACATGTTTGTTTGAGTGCAGATCTGCCTTACAAAAATGTGGTCTACCCTGAGATAACATGTTTTGTTGTTTGTTTCTGAAGGCAGGTCTGCCTTCAACCAACATTGTTGTTTTGAAGGCAGATCAGCCTTCAACAGTAAGGCCTTCTCCGTAAGAGCTGTTGTTTTGAAGGCAGGTCTGCCTTCAACAAACATAGTTTTTCGAGGTCATATCTGCATTCAAAAAAGGGTCTACTTCGTGAGGGCGTTTTTTTGATGCAGGGCTGCCGTCAACAAAACTTTTTTGTTGAAGGTATATCTGCCTTCAAAGAACTTTCATAATAACGTTTTTTTTGTCATGGCAGATTTGCCTTGTACGATCTTTTTTTTCTTTGAAGCCAGGTATGTCTTCAAAGCAACTGTCTACTGTGTAGGAACCGTTCTTCTGAAGACATATTTGCCTTCAGCAACAATGTTTTTTGAACATAGAACTGCCTCCACCAGCTGCGAGGACGTTTTTTAAGGCAGAGCTGGCTCCAACAACCATGTTTGTTTGAAGGCAGATCTGCCTTCATCGAAATGGTCTTCCCTGTAAGAACGATTTTTATTGCCCCATACATTTCCCCCCCCAAAAAAAAGCATCCGCCTTCAACCCACAACTTTTTGAAGGCAGATCTGCCTTCAAAGCATTGGTCTATTCTGAGAGAACGGTATTTTGAAAGCAGATTTGCCTCCAACGAAACTTGCTGTTTGAAGGCAGAGCTGCCTCCCCAGCAATTGCTTACGCTGTAAGGGTGGTTGTTTTGAAGGCAGATCTGCCTTCATCAAGCATGTTTTTTTGGACGGCACTTTTTCCGAAGGCAGATCTGCCTTCAACAGATTTGTTTGAAGGCAGATCTGCCTTTAACCAGCGACATACCTTGTAATGTTGGTTTTTTTGAAGGCATATCTGCCTTCAGCACATATGTTTTTGAAGGCAGGCTGTAAGAACGGTTGTTTTGAAGGCAGAGTTGCCTTCAACAAGCATGGAATGGTCTACTCTGTAAGTACGTTTGTTGTTTTTTGAAGGCAGGCCTGCCTTCAACAAACGTGGTTTTTGTGAAGGCAGATCTGCCTTAACACAATGGTCTACTCTGTAAGCACGATTGTTTTGAAGGCATGTAAATATGACACATATTCCTGGTACGATACTTCTATGACCACAAACTCACAAGTTGTATCTGCCTTCAACAGAAATGGTTTTTCTCAGGGCAGATCGGCTTTCGAAATAATAAAAGAGAGATTAATCTTACCTCAGCGAGAATCGTTTTTTTCTGAAGGCAGATCTGTCATCAAGAAATTGTCTACGTTCTAAGACTGTTTTTTCTGAAGGCAGATCCGCCTTCAACAAACATCGGTTTTTGGAATGCAGATCTGTCTCCAAAAGACAAGAGTCTACTCTGTAATAGTTGTCTAAAGGCAGTTTGGCCTTCAACAAAACATGTTTATTTGAATCCAGATCTTCCTCCCAAAAATGGTCCACTCTGTAAGCATTTTTTTTGAAGGCAGATATGCCTTTCATCAAAATGTTATTTTGAGGGCAGATCTGCCTTCAAAACGAATGACCCACTCTGTAAGAACTTCATGTTTGAGGACATATCAGATTGTTGTGTTACGAGGCAGATCGGTCTTCAAAAATGGTTTACCCTAAGGAGTTTTTTTGGTGAAGGCATATCTGCCATCAACACACACATGGTTTTTGGTGAAGGCAGATCCGCCTGAACAAATTTGTCTACCCTGTAAGAACGAATTTTTGAAGGCACACCTGCCTTCACCCAACAACGTTTTTGCAGTATTGGCCTTCGGGCGCGGCGTGGCGACCTTGGCTGCTGGGTGTCGGGCGGGACTGTGGGGCAGCCTCTTTCGGGGGCGGCCAGGAGGGGGTTGTCGACGAGGGGGGGGTAAATCATGGCGGTGGCCATGCTGTCTCCCCAGACCTCATGGCGCCTCTCCTCATGTCAATACGTCCCGGGGCAAACCCTGTGCCGCGCACGTTCCGCAGGCCATGATTTGCCCCCTCCCCCCCTCCCTCTTGGACGCCCCTTCTTGAACGCCCCCGACTCTTGTCTGGTCGGACACCCCACAAAGGCAGGGATCGAGGGCGCCATCTTATACTCCACGCCAGAGGGTGCGGGGAGAGTGAGGCCAGGTGTGGAGTCATACGGGCGCATGGATTTGGATACATAGACTCAGAGCGTTCCAGAGCGCTTTCAGAGCATTCTGGAACGCTCAGAGAAGGCCGAGGTGCCCGATGGATCCTCTAGATCCGCCAGATCTCAGAGATCCCCGACCTATCTCTGCCCGATTTTGTTCCTGTCCTGGCTTCGTCTTAGGGTGGGCCACTTGCACTTGAGACTTTTTTGTAAGGGCGCGGCGATAACCAGGGTTGTCGGGCCCGCCCGCCTCCCCTTCCCCGCATGCGCAGGGCGGCCAAGAGCGAGACGGTTCAGCTATCGGCCAGCACCTCTCCCCCCCGCACTGGACCACCGGGCTCCATCGCCGAACAAGACTAATGGGCACGCATGCCCTGGCTCATGCACGAGGGAGGGCGGGGGCCAGGCGAGGCGGGGTGAGAGGGGGGGGCTTCTTGGGGCCATCATGTTGTTCTCCTGTGGGGGAAACAACAACGGGTCCATCTGCGCCGACATTGGCGCGTAAGCTCCCCGCGTATGGTCGCGCGTGAGCCCCCTTCGCTGTCAATGTGGCGTGCCGCGCCGGCGGCCCGCGTAAGCCACCGCGTAAGGTCGCTGTGTCATCTCGCGTAAGGCCCGATTTTGATCGTTGCCCATTTTGACCATCACGAGGAGGCAGGGGCAAAGTGCGTTCGGATCTAAGCTATGTTGACAGGGCCTGCCTGGCGGAGTTATCGAATCACCGAGGATGCTTGCAACCCACTTGAAAGCTAGGTTAGGCCAGAGATATTCCCCGGAGGCCTAGAGACTCTAAGCTGGAGTAGTAGGCCTAGTCTGGTGCAGACGGGCTGGGGGGGGGACGTTGAGCGAACGAGCGAACGACGAGAAGACGGGGCTCCGAGCCCCGGAACCCCGCCGTGCCTGAGGATCCGTCAGCGAAAGGCACCTCCTCTCGTCGCCGACTCCTCTGCGCCAGGCCCACTACAGTTGAATCGGGCTTGTCCCTCTACAGGAGGGAAGTTCGAAAATTGTAAAACAATAATCAGGGGACGAACTGTGGATTATTTCGGACTACTTTTGAATATTTTCCATTGTTTTTCATTTACCATCCAAAATCCGCCTGTAGGAGGACATGCCCGAGCTAACACTACAGTCGGACTGAGGCACAAACCCGAGGTCCTCACTGGCCTCCTTCTGCTGCGCGCCTGGGCCTCCGCGAGAGCGCCCAGCCCCGCGAGGAGCACGAGAGCACCCTGCAGCCCTACAGCCCTGCAGCCCTCTAGCCCTGCAGCCCTATGCCCCTGCAGCGAGATAACCCTATAGCCCTATAGCCTTCTAGCCCTAGAGCCCTACAGCCCTGTAGCCCTATAGCCCTACAGCAGAAGCTCGACGACCAAACTTGCAGAACTCGTCAAAACACGGCAAGGGCGTGCGCACACTTCACTGTAGGCATTTTGGCGCAGAGGGCACTACACAGCCCTGTAGCCCTATAGCCCTAGAGCCCTATAACCCTATAGCCCTGTAGCCCTACAGCCCTACAGCCCTATAGTCTTTTAGCCCTAAAGCGGCAGAAGCCCGACAACCAATTTCTCGGATTTCGTCAAAAACAGCAAGGGCGTGTGCCGCGCACTTCACTGCAGGCATTTTGGCCCAGGGCGCTAAAGCGACGGGGCCACACCAGAGTGAGCTGGACTCTCCAGGGGCCATCGCCACGTTGAAAACATCGTCTCGCCCTAACGAGACTGCCCCAGCTTCCATTCGTCCTCACCGTCCTCCTTCCGCTGCGCACCTGGACCTCTGCGAGAGCGCCCGGCCCCACGGGGACGGAGCACGCGAGCACCCGCGCGGGCAGCCAGGCAACGGCGAGGCGCCCGAACGGGCGAGCAATGCACCGAAGATGCCGAGACATCCCGAGGGGAACGAGACATGGCACAAAGATAACAACTCGGAAGTCCGCGCGGATCTCTCGGATCCGCGCTGGACGTTCCCTCCTCCTCCTCCTCCTCCTCCTCCTCCTAGCCGTTCGCAAACACGGCGTGGCGCCAATGAGCCAGAGCACTTCACCAGTCTTCAGACACAGACACCAGCTCCAGAGGGGTCCGTCCGTCCGTCCTCCTCCTCCTCCTCCTCCTACTCCTACTCCCTCCCTCCCTCCCTCTCTCCTCCTCCTCCTCCTCCTCCTCCCCCTCCTCCTCCTCCTCCTCCTCCTCCTCCTCCTCACCAGTCCTTCCAGCAGCGTCCGACGTGGCCTCGGCACGGCCCTGGCGCCGCTTGAGCGTGATGGAGCACGCCGCAGGATGCGAGTTTTAGGGGCGCCCTCCTAGCCATCGTGCACATTTTGTCCTGTCCGCCAGCGTGCTGACCAGTTCTAGAGCCTAGACGTGGTCGTATATATATAAAAGAGGAATATCCCGAAATGGTCCAACAATAGCCTGGAGGCGTTTGTTGTTGTTGTTGTTGTTGTTGTTGTTGTTGTTGTTGTTGTTGTTGTTGTTGTTGTTGTTGTTGTTGTTGTTGTTGTTGTTGTTGTTGTTTGTGCTTGTGTGTTGCCCCCCTTTTTTCTACCATTTTTTTTCAGTATTGTTTTTCGCATTTTTCTTACTATTTCCAAGTTTTCATTCCAACTTTCCCCTGTAGGAGGACCTGCCCGACCTAAGTCCAGGACAGAGAAGCGGTGCATTTGAAGTTCGGCGGCGAGCCAGGGAGAAGTTTGGGAAGTCCGGGTTTTGGATCTAAAATCCAAGATTTCGGGCGTTTTCGTCGGTTCTCGGGCGTTTTCGTCGGTGCTCGGTCGTTTCGTCGGTTCTCGGGCATTTTCGGCGGTTCTCTGGCGGAAGCGCCAGCAAATCCTGATTTTCAGGCGTTTTCGCCGGTTCTTGGCGGCTTTCCAACCTCGGGACTCGTTCCAGACGCTGCGCTTCGCCAGGGGTGCCCGAATTCTCCCGAACGGCCACCGGAGAGCCCAGTTATGACCCAACAGCCACCAGGCGCCCGAGAGGGGGCGGGCCCTCGCGCACCCCGAGAAGTCTTCTGAGCCTTCCCCGAAGACGCCGAACACTTCTCAGAAGCCGTCGCGCCTTCTGAGACGCCCCGCCGCCTTCTGAGAAGGCCAGCCCCCTCTCAAATCCTTCCTGGGATCGCCGCCGACGAAAATCGGTGCGGTCGACATGGCTGCGGCAGGAACAGAGACGCAGGCCGACGGCAGCGCCTGTCCATCTTGAACAGGGGTGGCTGTCAAGCGTCGCCGCAGACGCTGTCCGTTTGAGACAAAAGGGCGACTGCCCAACAGCGGCCGCTGCTGATTTTTGACGGCATCATTCGCTGTTGGGCAGCGTACCCAGTTTCCCCGAACCCATTTCGGGCGTCCACAGAGATAAATCGCCGCTCCAGAGCGTTGTCTGATTTTTGCTTGAACTCGGCGGCGCGCCTAGGGGGGACTGCAATGGTGGCGGGCCATCTCAGAAGGCTCCGGACCTGAAGGCTTCCTGCCTTCCGAAAAGCTTTCTGAGCCTTCTCCGAGGCCAGCGTGGGCTCCGCAGCTTCCCAGAAGGCAAGAGGTCGGCGTCACCCCAACATACTAATACCATGTGTGCATCGCCCCCTCAGGGGCGACGCGCGCTCCGAGAAATCTTGTAGTATATGCGTCGTGGCGGGTGCTCTCTGGCCACTCCGCGCGGGAAGCGATGTACTACAAGATGGGTATGCTGCAGCATCGGGTCGGACGCACGCCCCCAAGGAGGACATGTGGCGCTGGCTTGTCCCCGTGCGTCCCCGAGAGGGCCTCCGAGCAGCCACCGCCGCGCTCTGAGAGGGCCTGCCCCCTCCCGCTTCCTCCCCGTCGTGGCGCCGCCGAGCCTGGTTCCTGGCGGCCGTGGGACGATCTGGGCCTCCCCCCCCCAGGACGCCTCGCGGCGCGGCGCAGCCGCTGGAACGCATCATCGTCGTCGTCGTCGCCGCCGTCGTCGTCGTCGTCGTCGTCGTCGTCGTCGTCGTCGTCGTCGTCGTCGTCGTCGTCGTCGAGGCTGGAAGACCGCCGAGAACCGAAGCCCCGAACCTCGAACCCGAGTCTCCCAAACTTGCCCCCCTCGGCGCGCCGTCGAAAAGTCCTCACATCCTCCACGCGCGCCCCAGGTTCAATGCCGGTCCAATTGGTCCGATTCGATACCGGCTTTTGCCGACCCAATCCGATTCCATTCCGATTTTCGGGCGATTCGATGCGGCCCGATGCTTGCATGGCGCTGTCATGCATGCTGGCGCCGCCGTTTTTTGTCGGTTCTGGCTACTGCTCGATGCGGTCCGACTCGATACGCTGTCCGATCCGAGTTCCTGATCCGATGCTGATTGCACCTGAGCGACGTAACATAATGTGCTTGCATTGGCGCTTAAGTTGCCCGCGCAAGGTCACGCGTGAGCGCCCTAGTCTCCAGCGTAGCCTTCCGCGCTGGCGGCCCGCGTAAGCCACCTCGTAAGGTCGCTATGCCACCTTGCGTAAGACGGGCCGGACGACACGGCAGGGTAGGAAAGGAGGGGTTACGAAATCTGTTGCGTGCAGCTGGTTCCCGCCCCGCCGCCGGGCCCACTCCTCGATACATGGGCGCTGCGTGAGCTCTCTCTACCCTGCCCTTTGCTATCCTACCCTTTCGCCTACCCCCCAGTAAGACTCGTTCCGATCCGATCCGGCTTCCCGAGCCGACTTTTGACCGTGCCCAGCATCCCCGTGAGCCAGCCGCGCTGTACAGTCGGGCTCCTGCTGCTGAAGTAAGGGACGCCAGATCAGGAACGAAGCCCCTTTCTGGCCCCCAGGGCGCCTGCGTGGACGAGCCGAACCCAAACTGCTCCTTACTCCAGCGTCTTGGCTGTGAGGGCGGGGGGGGCACGGGAGCACTCGCCCAGCGGGCGCCGTTGCTCCCAGGTGCCCATCGTCTACACGCGGAGGAAGTTGCTAGAGGTCTTGGACGCGGAGGGCTTCCAGGGGAAGGCGCTGGCGCGCTCTTCTTCTGGACGAAAGACGTTCGACTACGGCCAGACCTAGGTATAAGATCGAGGTCGGTTTAGGGAGGGTACCCTAATGTTCTCGGTGCCTGTTGGATGTTATTTGTGCGTCCAGGGGGAGGGTACCCCCAAGTGATCTTATGGTTCAGGGTGTTTTGGCCGGCGGAGGGTCTCATGCTCTTGAAGGATGTTATTCTGTCCCAGGTCCGACCGTCATCGTGAGAGTGACCCTCGGGCTGGACGAAAGGGGGGGATTGGGAAAGGGGGGGGGTACGAAATCTGCTGCATACAGCAGGTTTCGGCCCCACCGAGGGGCCAATTCCTCGATACATAGCCGCCTCCGGCGCCGGGAGGCAATGGGAAAATCAGCTACGTGAGCTGATTCTCAAACCCCCCTTTGCTGTCCCCCCCCTTTCGCCCGGCCCGAGACCCTTCGGCGGGGTGAACTTTGGCGCGGGCTCATCGGGCCCCCCACCCGATCGCTGATCGCGGTGCGAGGGCAGCGGCCTACGCGCTCGGATTCGGCCCTCTCGCCCCCCCCCACAATCAGGAGGGAAACAAAAACACAGACACAAGGAATCGGCGGTTCCCCAGAAAATGTGGGAAAAAAAAGGGAAGTGGAGGGGAAGACAAAAAACCCAGAAGACATGGGGAAATTGGGGGACTCCTGTTATTTGTGTGTATTTATTTGTGTGTGTGTGTGTGTGTGTGTGTGTTCAAGTTCCCTTCACAAAAGCCGCGCACCCAAGGTCACTCTTACCCAGGGTCGCTCTTGCGCGACAGCCGGAGCATAGCCGCATCCGCGGCCTCGCGGGCCGGGCCCCTGGGCCGCGACCCCGCGGACACAGGGCGTTTTTTCGCGGCGGACTCCCCGCGCGGGACGTATCCGTGCGACCGTGTAGCCGCGGGATCGCGCCCCGAAGTCTAGGCCGCACGGATACGGATACGTTTGTCGTTGATGCCTTCGTGGTTTACTTCCTCTTCTTCTTTTCATCCCGTTGCGTTGCCGCGCGATTTCGCCACCACGCTCAGGCGTTTGCCTTGGGGGTGGGCGCCTTGGGGGTGGGGTGAGGGGGCGGCGGGGTGGGACACGTCACGGGACCCCGCTACCCGCACCTGCATTCTTGGGACATTTGTTTGTCGGAAGTCGAAAGACGAAGGAACGTCGGAGGGCCTCAGTTCTTGCTTCGCAAGAAGCGGAATTAACCTAAACATTCTCTGCATCCGCATTGACGATTCTACCAGGTTAGTTGTATTCTGCTTACGCTTCTTCATCATCCTCTCCATTACCATCACCATCACAATCATCATCATCAACATCGTCGTCGTCATCATTCTTTTCCCTGTTCGTATTTCAGTTGTTGAACTTCTTCCCCTGCTGTCTCTGCGCCGCTGCCGCCGTCTTTTCGCTGCCGTAGAATATTGTACCGCAACCGTGTATTAGGGTCGAGGTACTCGGCCAGCACCGCGGGCCGGTCCAGTATTGGTGAAAACGGGCGCGCTTGGTGTCGTCGATGTGTCGTCGTTCCTTCTCCCGTGCTCATACATCCCATATACCACAGCTTACCGGATTGTAGCAGCCATGGCGATGCGACCCGTCCAGAGCAGTAGTGGGACCAACATAACATCACCTGTGGCGTCCCGCATTTGCCGGGGATCTTTCTCCCGTGGCAAACAAGTGGTCATCAGCCGAAAGCGCAAGGGTTGCATCCAATACGCAAATGGACGTGAATGGCGATCCCAGTGTGAGTGTACCATTTGCAACGGCTGAGGATTTCACAAGTGATGGTGTACTTACTTGGTGAGCCAATTCCCCCCGAACGTCCCTGCCATATCACTTAGTGATGAGCCGTTCACTTCAGGACAAGAGCTTGCTTCGGCATTGGTTCAAGCAGTGGGCCCGAACGATAATTTGGATCTTGGCCTCTTTAAGCTGTTATAGACTTTGACGATATCAGTTTCGAGTTTTTGTCGGCCACAGGAGGAACGCTTGTCGGAGTGCCCCAGACAGAACATGCGAGAGACAATTTTGGAGAGACCCCAGCGGCGAAACCTCTTTATGCGCCGGACGATGCCAGTATGGAGCAAGTTTGACCGATGCAGATTTCCAGTACGTGAACGTCAGGCATGCAGCCCTCCTTTCTCCATTGATGTCTAGGTTCCATGGAAGGTCGAAAAGAAACCAGGTTTCCCGTGGGTCACCATCGGGCTATTTTCGACCAGGGCATTGTGTTGGTCCCAGGGAAAGAATTGCCCTCCCACAGCGGAAAATCGATGCCAGGGGAAAGCAAGGAATGTTGATGGTCCGTGTTGCCGTCCTGTGTGCGCATGATGTTCGCACGTATGCCCACATTTCAGTTTCAGCTGGCTTTGCTTTGCTTACGTTGGTGCGACCGAGCATGATTGCCGGCCTTTTGTGTTCATCACAGCAACAACAGGGAGGAGCGCTGCCAAGGAAAAAAGGGCTCCGCGACACAATTTCTGCACATGTGCAAGTGCCCCAGCGGCAGAAGGATGAACAACTTCGGCATATGCAGACCGAGCAGGAAAAAATGCGTCAGATCGCGCAGCGGGCACAATTCGCACAACGGGCGACATCGGAGGCAGCTCAGATGTCTCCTGTTTGAAACTGAACGTAGCAAGAAAGAGAGGAAGGAGTCTGCCAAACAGAAACACAAGAGACGCGGACAGGAACATCGCAGAGGAAGTGGCTTTAAACAAAGTGCAGATGCGTTATCGACTGCAGGCTGCCGAAGATGCAGCGAACAGCTCTGAACTGTCAGTGGGAGGGGTCCTGCAAGAGAGGGCGGCTCAGGCAGCTGCGATATTTTGGCATGTTGAACAGGGAGTTCCCGCTGCAATTATGCAGGCGACCCTCGGGAACGCACTGCCACTGATCATATGAGGCGAATGAGGAAAGAAATGTACCGACTTGTTGGAGACATTGCCTGTCGAAAACAGGCGCTGGTAAAACTGATTGCTCTACAGGAGACAACCTTTGAATGGATTGTCTGAGCGAGAGGACCCGGCCGCCTCGCGGGTTCAGGCCCCAATTCTTTCAGCTTCGTTGATGTGCAAGATCAGCCCATGGCAGTTTGGGGACTTGAGCTGGCGTCGGAGGCTCAACCTGCGACGCCCGCGAAGCAAAGTCATGGGCGCCCGCCCGCCATCGCCGAGCGGGGCAGTGACTGCGCCAGTCTCGGCAGACGACGGGTGGAGCGATCACGAACGACCGTTGCCTTGGGAAGTTTGGGATCTGCAATTTCTGCCAAGCGCCAACATGTGGGGATTGTGTCCAATGCCTGAGGCCTTGTTGCGATCGCTGCGTTGTCGTGGAGAGTGAGTGATGCAGGCGATGCACTCAGGAGAAATCTGACTCGTAGGCAGAGGCCGCCATGACAAGACTCGAGGAATATCCATGAGAAAAAGATGCGCGGTTGGCTTCTTTCAACAGCAGGCGGACATCTCGGAATCCGTGCGGGCCGAGAGATGGAGAAAGGAAAACAATCCATGAGGAAGGGCCGTCCATATTCTTCTCATGAGCCCGGGTTTGTCGACTGGGGCTCACATGCATGTTGAGATCTTTGCTACGAGAGGGGCACTGCGTTTCCCAGAATTCACTGACCCGCCGAAGAACCCCCTTGACAAGCTGCATGATACTCCCGACGAGGTACCTGGCCCTAGTCCGAACGCCCCCCATTCAACCGCGGGCGGAGGCAGATGAGGCGCCCCCCCCTCCCCGGGGAGTGAGCGCGGTGGAGGAAAATGGAGGAAACGGGGGTCGAGATCCTTCGGGGCAGGTGGGAAAGACAACGCATACTAAATACATTGTTGTCACTTTCTCCTCCGACGGGGCTTCGCGAATTGAAACTTAATGCGGTTGGGTAATGTCGTCTGCGCCCCCAGATGCGAAGAACGCTCAGCTCTGTATCGCTGAAGCTTTGAGCCCAGGAGGAGGAAGGGGGGAGGAGGAGGAGGAGGAAGAGGAGGAGGAGGAGGAGGAAAGGGAAGGGGAGGGGAGGGGGGAGGGGGAAGAGGAGGACGAGGAGGAAAAGGAAAAGGAAAAGGGGGAGGAGGAGGAGGAAGAGGAAGAGGAGGTGGAGGAGGAGGAAGAGGAAGGGGAGGAGGAGGAGGAAGAGGAAGAAAAGGAGGAGGAGGACGAGGAGGACGAGAAGGAAATGGAGGAGGAGAGAGAAGGAAGAAGATGAAAAAGGAGGACGTGGAGGAGAGGGAGGATGAGGAGGAGGAAGAGTAATACTACTACTAAGAAGAAGATACTACTACGAATAATACGAATACACATGCAAACCCGAATAATAACACGAATAATAATACGAATAAAAATAATCCAATGACTAATGCCACGCATAATACTAATACGGATAATGCTAAGTCGAACGGAAAACAACAATAAACCATAATAGTAATTTAACTACTCATAACCTTAATCATACTACGACTACTACGTCACATAAAAGTGGTGCCGATAGGACTACGGCATATACTTATATCGCCAATGCGAAATACAAACCATATGATTTTAATGATCATAACGCGAATACTGTGGCAGCGACTAACACGAGTATTAATCATACGAATACACATTATATGCACATTATTGTTACTAGCACTACTAATGAGAACGCTAAACATACGAATAGTATTGTTTAGTTTAAAATCAGTGCTGTAACAACCATCTATAATACGGGTAACAATACTAATGATAATACTAGCACTGGCTATCGTGGTACTGCTAAATATAATATTCATAATAATATGAGGAATAGTAATCCTAACGGCAATACTACCAATGGTATTACTGATTGTAAGTCAGCGAACATGAACGATCATAAGAGGAGGATGAGGAGGATGCGGAGCAGGATGATGATGATGATGATGAGGAGGAGGAGGAGAACGGGCCACGATCCTCGCGAGGGGTGTGCCGACATGGTGGACATGCGGCGAGCAGAAGCAGGAATGGGAGGA